TCCCACCAGGGTGCTTCACCTCTCCTTGTCAGATTTAACCCAGCTGCACCTTGTAAATAGTTCCTTTTTTTTTAACATGTTAGTTTCCGCTTTATAACAAAATGAATCAGCTATACATATACATATGTCCCCATATGTCCTCTCTCTTGCATCTCCCTCCCACCCTCCCTATCCCACCCCTCTAGGTGGTCACAAAGCACCGAACTGATCTCCCTGTGCGATGTGGCTGCTTCCCACTAGCTATCTATTTTACGTTTGGTAGTGTATAAATGTCCATGCCACTCTCTCACTTCGTCACAGCTTACCCTTCCCCCTCCCCATATCCTCAAGTCCATTCTCTAGTAGGTCTGTGTCTTTATTTCCATCTTACCCCTAGGTTCTTCATGATAATTTTTTTTCTTAAATTCCATATATATGTGTTAGCATACGATATTTGTTTTTCTCTTTCTGACTTACTTCACTCTGTATGACAGACTCTAGGTCCATCGATCTCACTACAAATAACTCAATTTCGTTCCTTTTTATGGCTGAGTAATATTCCATTGTATACATGTGCCACATCTTCTTTATCCACCCCTTCTCAGTGCACCATCTTGTTCTTCTCAGATGCAGATTCCAAAGAGGCCCCAAGTTCCTGCCCTTGAGCAGACTGGTGCCTTAAAGGCCACTCCCACCTGGGCTCCCACACCCTCCTGAGCTCCCTGGGGTCAGACTCCCCCCTCCACGGAGAACAGGACAGCCCGGCTGCTAAGTAAACTGCTACAGAACCCGCGTCAGCTTCTCCAAAACGGCCAACCCCATCCTCCAAGCCTCCTCCTTCTGACTCATCTCCACTGCCTGACAGGTGAGTGGGATTGCAGTGCGGGGGGCGGGGGGAGCACCTCACAAGCTGGAGGGGCTTTTATAAGTAGGATTGACGGCACAACCCTGCTCTGCCCTTCACACCCCTTATGACCTCTTCATCCGGTACATACACATCTACCCTCAACTCCCCTGCTGCTTACTCCCCACATCCTGGTGAGCGAAATATCCATTTAAAACAGGTGTTCACACACACACATCCATTCACAGACACAGACACATTCACATCCACTTTTCACACATGTACACACACACACACTTATTCACATGTTTACACACACACACACACACAAAGGCACAGCCCACATTTGAAAAACACACCAAACTCACTTTTACCCCAAGCATCAGTAAAGCCAATGACTCTTAGAGCCGGCTGTCCCCAAGAAGAATATTCCTTCCCGAGCCAGTGGGCCTCACCTAAAGCAGGGACAGGAGAGAGCAGAGCCAGCATTTCATAGAAGCTCAAAACCCATCAACAGAAAAGCCTGGTGAGATCCAACAAGTGTTCCAGCAAAACACAATTCACTGAGATGCTCTGTGAAAAATGCGATTCTGCAGTCCAGGGAGTTTGGGAAACAGCACACCATATCATCCCCTTTTGAGAATCACATCCACACTGGCATAGCCAAGGTTCTGAGAGGTCCTAAACAAAAGATACTTGTTAAAGGTCACTTAACCCAGCATTTCATCAGCTAAATGATGTAGATGGATAGACAGACAGAGAGGCAGATGATAGATGGGAGAGAGAAAGAGAGACTGATTTTATAGTTACATAAATTCAACAGAACAGACTTTTAAATAACACGGATCCAGATCAACGATTTTCATTTTATAATGAAGACATGGGGGCTCAGAAAGGGCTTTGCCCAAGGTCACACCGCTGGTAAAAGGCAAAGCTGGCGCTAGAGCCCAGGTCTCTTAATGCTCTTTCCAATAGGCCCTGTTTCCTTTTCCGTTTAACCCTAACCCCCAGGACTTCTGGTGATGAAAGAGGTGGATGCTATTTCCAAAACAGACCCTGGTGCTTGTGACTGCACTCAGTGAATTCGCAGGGCTTCCCTCTCAAGTGTGCTCTCTGCTGCGGAAGGCGCTTTTTCCTGCATCCCAGACTCCAGGCCCACCGTGGCGGGGTGGCAGGGCCCAGGACAGAGGCCTGCAGGTGAGGGTGATGTTGAGCCCTGGCTCTGGGTACCTGGATCCTGCTACTCTGCTGGAGCTGGGGAGGCGGGCTTCCTGATATGTGTCCCCAAATGGGAACAGACACTTGCCATGCTGTCCCCAGGGATGGGGTTGGAGAAAGGAAATCTGGGGCCTGACCTAGGCCTCGGGGCACCGCCTAGGCCTGGCACTGCTTCATGGGGCTCAGCTGCCAGAACCAGATCTGCCTTCCTGCCCCTGCTCCCTGGGCATCTCTGAGCTCCTGCAGCCACAGCGACCTCTATCCCACTGCATGCTCACCGTCCAGAAAGAGGCACGTTACCCTCAGTGGACGCTCAACGTCCACTACTGCCCCCAGCTATCGCTGTTACATGGTGGCTACTTAATGCCTCACGCAGACACATCCTGTCTCCCTACAGCGCCTTCAGGATTGCTGGGTGCAGGGCAGGCCCTAATCTCTGCTAGCTTCCCAGGGACGAGGGCTGGGCTCTGCAGGGCACACACATGGATGGAAGAGTGCCTGCCAGGGTGTTTGGGGTTTGTAGCAACTCACCATGTCCAACAGCAAGATGAATTCCTGTTGGATATCTGTGGCAACAGGTAGAGAGTCATGGGGAGGGGCAGGCTCGAGGGACCCCAGGAAGCCACAGAACCAGCCTGCTTTTCAGGGTCTCAGTGCCCCCCACCACACAACATGGGAGTTGAGGATGTAGGTGAACCCTTCTAGCTCTAAAACTCTGATGCAATTCTATTATAGAATCATACAGAGGGGAAAGCCTAAGCCACTTTGTTGTCATTCTCTTCTCCAGCCCTTTAGCACAGAAGAAATTGAACAAAGACTTGCAGGGAGGATGTAGCACTCGTGCCCAGGCTCAAACAGGGCTGCCCCTTCCCCAACTCCAGGCACCCTGTGGGAGTGTATCTGGCAAGACACTTCAGACCCCAAAGCCAGTGGTTTTTGATGCCCCAACCAAAGTCGCATAAAATAGAAGACTCCACCACAGTGACAGGCCCAGATGATCAGGACCAGGTAGGGACAGGAAGATGTAGGGTGACCGTCTCATCTCCTGATTTTTAGGCTGAGAGCCCCGAGTGAGCCATTTATCTTCCTCAAATCCCCTCCCCACCTGAGACCTTTTAGACTGTGGCTTGAGCTCTCTGCAGTGAACAAACAGGGATGCCCCCAGCATCCTAGCCTGGCTCCAGCCCTCTCTCCCCCACTTTCCCCAGGCCCCATCCATCTCTGAGGCTTCTCTGCAGCTGGAATGGAGGGGGGGGTGGTATTTGACACCAGAGGCCTGCCCTCTGTGGCACCAATGCCCACACTTCCCTCTTTCCCAGGGAGCAGGGTCACTTCCCTGAAGACGGAGCAGAACACAGAGTTAATAGCAAGCAGTGTTTGTATCTGCCCCATGTCTGGGACACACAGCCCAGTTCCTGGGGACCTGCCAGGGTGGCCTACTGTCTGGCACTGTTGCCTTTGGGGCAATGGTTGCCTTGAGCGGGGAGGGACAAGGAGGCTGAAGTGGAGGTGGGGAGCAGGGCACAGCCCGAGACCAGGCAGCCTTGGTGCCAAAGGCCATGGCTTCTGAAGCTCCAGACAAGGGTCGCTGGAGCTAAGGGCCTGCCCACCGTCCTCTCTTCAGCATCAGGGGACCCTGATGACGGTGGAAACTCCTTCCCACCTCTAACAAAACCCCTCAGAACCATGGTCTTTCTTCTCCCAGGCTCCTCAAGGCCCAGGTAACTTCTCAGGGCTCTGCACCCTCCCACCCCTGCACACCTACCCTCCTTAATAAGATAAGGAGATGCTGCAGGTGCTGCCCAGAGGGAACACGTGGAGGAGAGCTGAAGCCCTGCTTCCGGGGTGTCCAGAGCTGGGCTGCACCTGTGTTGTAGGCGGCTGGCCTTACAAACCCATCTTCCCCCAAACCGTGACCTGTCACTTCTGACTTCCCCTCAAACCCAGCTCCTGGGGCAGCGTCTCTCCTTCACCAGCGCAGCATCTGATTATACACATCCAAGAACTATTCCGCTCTTGGGCAGCTGCTTCTAACTGAATGTCACCCAGAGCTGTGGGACCGTAAGCAGTCACTTCCTCTGGGAAGATGAGGGGCTGGATTCCTGGATCTCTAAGGACACTTCCAGCTTCAAAGTGCCGTACCCATAAGCACAGGGCAGGGGTCTTAGGCCCTCCTGGACATCAGGACAGAACTTGATATTACAGGAATGCAGCAGGAAGCACCCCAACCTTCTGCCAGAGACCAGCAGGAACCAGGGAACAAAGGGAACCTTCTGCGTGGTTCCCTTTAGGTGTCTATACCACACTTGGTGCATATACCATACTATGGGCTGTATACCACATGTTATATATCATCACACTGTAAGGTGTGGTACACATTTTGGAGTATATGTCACACTTTGTGCATGTACCGTACTTGGGGGATACATACACTTTGAGGCATAACAAACTTTAGGGCATAAAGACGCTTTACAGCACGTACACACTTTGTGTATATCTCCATACTTGGGATATACCCCATGCTCTGTGGATACAGCACACCTTGTGTAGAGACCTCACTTCTGGGAGCATTCTGCAAAGTGTTAGTGATGTAACTCCGGCAAGGCTGCAGGGTGAAGAGTACAGACCCTAGAATCTGATCATGCTGCATGCAGTGCACTCCCACCACTGTGGTTAACCTTGAGCAAATCACTTGTCCTCTGAGACTCAGTTTCCTCACCTGTTAAGTGGGGATCATAATAGTACCTACCTCATGGGGTTTGGGGGACGATTAAATGAAACAGAGCTTATAACAGACTTACCATCGTGTCTAGCACAGGAGAAACACATGGTAAATGACAGCTTTGTTATTGCTTGCACTTTTAAAGGTGTTTTATAATGCATAAGTATCTTTGAATTTCAAATATACATAAATTCAGACATTCCCAGAGTCTTAATGATTTTGAAAACTCAGATAACAGACAATTTAATTCATATTTATTTCACATTTGATCTGTAAACTTTTTATTTAAAAAAAAATTCCACTGTCATTAACAACATGTGCTGACATTAGTTTTTCTTTAGTGAAATAAGAGCACAGGCCTTAAAGAGTCTCTGTCTAAAACATGGGGAAACTTGGATGTAAACAAGGTCTCCACCCTCCTGCCTTGACTTTGGGAGTTCATTAATGACTTGATCTCAACCAGAAAAAACAGGGAGGAAAAAATGGACAACACTTTGATACCTAGGAGCTCTTGGGGCAGGAACTGTACAGTTTGGCAGGCCCATTTGTCTCTTCAGACTGTTTACCTTGGGCAAATTGTATCAGGTTTGCTTCTTCCACATAATTTCCACTTCTCCGTGTCTAAAAACAGCAGGTAAAAGATTCCCCACAGTCAGCACTTTGGGGGAGGGAGGGGTGCACATACATACAAGATGGAAACATACATATTTTTCAAGCAGTGGCCCCCGAGGAAAGGAGGGAGGGGACACTGGAAAGAGGAGGTTTTAAAGTGAGGTACTGGGGCGAAGAAGGATGCATCAGAGGATAATGGCTTTATACACAGGGCTGCTGCAAGGCAGAAAGGTTCATTTACTTCTGTCTTGGTCCATCATTGTAATATTTACATAGGAAAAGGCAATCATGCTGTTAGGCACGGGAAAAAATGGACAGAAATCTTTTCCCCCTCAGGAAATCTCAAAGCAGGTCCAGTCCCAAGGGACAGTCACCAGTTGCTGGTGAAAATGACACAGAGGGAGGTAATGACAACAGAAAAGGGCTCACATTGCAAAGAGGCTTGCCCTGAGCTAGCCACAATGTGTCTGCCTGGAGAGCATCTCCAACAGCCAGGATGCCAACATCAAAAGCCAAGCGACATTGCGGACAACGTGTACTATCAAAAATAGTGTATATTTACAAGGGGGGGGGGATGGGAGGGCGGGCAGGGCTGCCCTGAGCTTTTGTTTAAAAATAGAGTCGGGGGAGGAGGAGAGCCAGGGCTGGGTACCACCATCTATTAACCCTTTGAGAGCCATCCCCTCTGAGCTCTCGTGCTTGCTCTGAACCACGGTGAGAGCTGGATCCAGGGGAGGTGAAAATACTTTTAGGAAACAATACTGATTTGGGGGCCCGCCTAAGAACCCAGGAAGATGGCTCCGAGTGAGGAGCGGCCCTAAGAACAATTGGGGGGGGTGTGTGCCCTTACGGTCCCCCACCCACCCCCAGCCAGTACTTTTCTCTGGTAGGAGAGTGCAGATGCCGGCAGGGCGCCGCAGAGCAACCTTCAGGCCAAGAAACTCGGAATAGGCAGGACCCAGGTTTCGGAGTACTGGGACTGCGTAGACGCACCCCTGGATCCCAGCGGCCGCTGTCGGCGCGAGTCTGTTCGCGGGGCGCGGACTCCGCGCTCACACGATCCGCTTCCTGTCCCCCCGGCAAAGGATCTTCTTGAAGGCGCGGCGGAAGTCGTGATTGAAGATGGTGTAGATGACCGGGTTCAGCGAGCTGTTGCAGTAGCCGAACCAGAAAAAGAACTTGAAGAGTGTGCGCGGCACCGAGCAGCCGACGGCCGTGAGCGTGTAGGTGAAGAAGAAGGGGAACCAGCACGCCACGAACACTCCGATGACCACCGCCAGCACGAAGGTGAAGCGCTTCTCGCGGTTTTGCCGCCCGCGCCAGCGCGACGCCTTGGCGCCTCCGCCGCGCTCCTCCCCGTGCCCGGCCGCGGGTGCCCCCGGCCCCGTCGCCCCTGGCCCGCGCCGCGGCAGGCTGTCCCCGGGCTTCACCTGGCTCGCCCGGGCCTTACCCTTGGCCCGGGGGCCGCGCTCGGACCTGAGGGTCCCCGGGGGCCGCTCGGCGTGCTCGGACGAGGAGCTCTCCTCGAGGTCCAGCGCGTCGGCGTCCCGCGGCCCTGCCGGCGTGGGCTCCTTCGGGGCACCGTTGAGCTGGGCCGGCAGCGACTCCGCCTCGGCGCCCACGGGGCCCACGCCGCGCTCCGGGCCCAAGCCGTTGGGTCTGCGCTTGGCGCCCCCCGGCAGCGTGGCGGCGGCATCAGGACCCCTGCGACTGGGCGGCACGCGGGTGCGGCGCTTGGCGATCTGGTAAATGCGCACATAGACCAGGATCATGATGAGGCAGGGCGCGAAGAAGGAGCCGATGCACGACGAGATGACGTACCACTTCTGGTCGTTGATCTCGCAGCGCGGTTCGGCCGGCTGCTGGCCACCACTGCCTCCTTTCTTCTCGATGGAGATGAGCGGCGGGAAGGAGATGACGGCCGAGATGACCCACACGGTGACGATGATGGCCTTGATGCGGCGTGGGGTGCGCTTCAGGTTGTACTCTATGGCCTGGGTGATGGACCAGTAACGATCCAGGCTGATGGCGCACAGGTGCACGATGGACGACGTGCAGAAGAGCACGTCGAGCGCCAGGTAGGTCTCACACCATGCCTTGCCGAAGTACCAGTAGCCCATGACCTCGTTGGCCAGCGAGAAAGGGATGACAAGCGTGGCCACCAGGATGTCGGCCGAGGCCAGAGACACCAGGAAGAGGTTCTGGGGCGCCTTGAGCGCGCGGCTTGTGAACACGGCAATGATGACAAGCACGTTACCGAACACCGTGAACAGCATGAGCAGGCCGGCCAGGCACACCAGCGTCAGCGTCACCTGCAGGGAGTAGGGGGTGGCCCGGGCGCCACCCCCCGGGGCCTCGGTCCCGTTCCAGCTAGCGTTGCTCGCGTCCGGCTGCAGGGAGCCCATGGGCGCGAAGCTGCCTTCGGCCAGCGCCTGCTCCTGGCGGAACATGAACGCGGGTGCCCGCTCGCCTGGGCCTGCTGCCAGCTGCCTTCCGGCCGGCGCCCGTTGAGCCTCCTCTTCCTCCTGCGCCCCGCTCGCCCCGCCGCGCCTCACATGGAGAAGCGGCCTCTGGGAGGCCGAGCCCGAGCTGGGGGACCGCTAACGGCCCATGGACCCGGCTCCCGGGAAGCACGCCCGGCCCGCGCTTCGAGCGCTCGGGGTCGGCGCCTTCTCGCTCCCAGCTCCTAAGCACCGCCAAGTTTTATTTCTAAGCGGCGGGAGAGAGTAGTAGGTCGAGCCGATGAGGAAAGAGAGATTTATTCTTCAAGAAGAGAGAACAAAAATAATCGGTGGCCTGATGACTTGGAAGGATAACAGGAAATTAAATATATCTATATCTTTGACTCTGGAGCCTGAGCGAAAACAAGAGGTCTTACCGTGTGCGGGGCCCGCCCCCACCCCGAGAGGCAGCCGAGGGGTGCTGATGCTGGCTTGGGGTCCTGTGTCTGTCTCCTTACATCCCCGAAGCGATTACCGACTCTCTCGCTTCCCCCAGACGCTGCGGGGTCGGCGAGGCCCGGGCTAGGGCCAGGGCGCAGACTCTGCCGCCTCTCGGAGCGCCGCGGGACTTCCAAAGTTGCGTGCCCTGCAGGGGCTGGGGCGCAGCGCGTGGAGCTCGGAGGCGGCGGCGGGGTGAGGGGTGTGCGGGCCGCATGAAGGCGCCCCCGTCCTAAGGCGGGCCCAGGCGGGTGGGCGATCGGCCCTCCAGGAGCCGCGGCCGAGGCAGGGGGTCTCCTGGGCGTCGGCCCGGCGAGCTTCGGGCGCTGAGCGCGACGGGACAGCTGGGGTCCGAGGGCAGCGTGAGTTGGGGCAGGAGCGCAGGGCTTGGGGGAGAAGGTGCTGGGGGTGGCCGGGCGGCGGCGCGCCGGCTGCTGGGCGTCTGCACGGGAGCTGGGGCCGGTGCTTCTCCGTGGCGCTCACGGTGGACTGGTTTTATAGCCCCAGGATCAAGCCGGCGTTGCCGAGCAGCCGGCGTCACCCCCACGTGGGAAGCCGACCCTCCCCCGCCCCTTGCGCCTCCCCTCCGCGGGTCTGGAGTCCGCGCCGGGCTCCGGACCCACTGGAGCCCTGGCCCCCTGGCAAAACTGGCCCTTTGGGGAGGCGGGTACCTTGAGCGAGGGATTTAAAGAGCGTGCCCGGGCAGTGAGCAGCGGTCCCTGCTGGGAATTGGCCAAGCATCTCTGGGACCGCCGAGCAGAACGCGTCGGGCACCCGGGAGTGCCCACATCGAGCTGAGTGGGACTCGGGCGGAAAGGGTAGGGATCCCCGGCCGAATTGGGAGAAGCAACACACCGGTACGGGTCGCATCCGGAGCAGCCCCCCAAGTGCTCCTGACGGCGGGGCAGTGGGGCTGGTGAGAGAGGAAGGTGCACGTCCGGATGCAACTCCTGGGGCGAAATGGGAAGCATCCCCCGGGGAGCGGGCCCCGCCAGAGTTCAGAGCTCCGCTCTGGGGAGAAACGGCCACTTGTCCCAGCTGCAGAGCTGTCTGAGAGACACTAGCAGGCAGGATCTGAACCGCGCCCCCTAGACCGCGGTGAGGAAGGGTCCTGGAGCGGAGGCCGCGCACGGCGGCAGAGCGAGGGCGCACTGACACCTGCCGGCCGCTTGCCGTCACCGCTGCGAAGCTACAGGCCAGCGCCTGTAGCCTACTCCCGCCCCTGCAGTCCTTTGCCTACAGAGCCTTCTCCCATCTCAGGACAAATTTGTGTCCAAGCTCAGGAAAAGAGAACCCAGATTTCTAATTGCACTTTGTCATGTTGGAGAAATCTTCCTAAGGAGAAATCTTGTGTGTGTACCCTCTCCACCAGCGAGAGTGAGGATTGTTCTCATAAAGTCACATCAGGAAGGGCTCGGCAGGCAACAGAGCCCAGGACTGGCATTCCACCCTGGACCGGCACAGGGCAGCCCACCCTTCCCGCAGATCCGAGAGGCCTGGATTCTGCCTGGCTGGTTGCTCTGCTCTGGCCTTCTCTGAACCATTGTGTCTTTGTTGAGGCCAGAAAGCTAGACTCCACCCCCCACTCCACACCTCCATTTCAGATGCACACACGCTGCGTCTTTCAGTAAGGGGAGGATGCCGGCCAAGAGAAGAGAGAATATTTTCTATGTCCTCTCTGATAGGAATAGCACGGAGTGGGGGTGAGTGCAGTTTTCCTCTGCCTGCTAGATGTCCTGAGATAGATTTTAACGTTTGCTAGAGTGCCAGCTTGCACTGTGCTATCTGCACTTTTCAAATAAACAGCAGGCAGTTTAAGGGTGAGGCCCAGGAGGATAGGAACTGTCAGCAGGAGAGAGATTAGACCTAAAGAAAAATTGTCTTATTTAAGGACCTACTAAACCAAAATACCTTATGTAGTCAACTAAACTGGAAGCTCCAAGTATTGAGCAGATTGCCTCTCTGCCCGGCAGGGTTCAGGCTCAGGGGCTGAGGACTAGATTAAGGACCTTGAGCATCACCCTCAACAGCAGCTGATGTCTACAGCCCCCACCAGTGATACAGGCCAGTGATACAGTGATTGATGCTGTTGCTCTTGATGTAGATAGTCCTGAGGTCTTTACTTTTCAGAGTACTTCACAGGTGTCTCATGTGACTTGAGTAGGTTTATCTCCCGATTTTTGCTCCAGTGGGATGACCTCCCTTTCCAGTCTTAATTCTGAAGAGCCTTTCTAATCCCCTTTTCTGGAGCATCTAAAGAAAGTTAAGGCAGAATTTCCTCCCTCTGTTGAGTCCATTCTTTTCCATCTTCTAACCAATTCTCAGCTCTGTATATTCTGTCAGGGGGCAGAGACATTGCACTAGGCTCAGCTGGAAATGTGGTTACACTCACCTTTGCACAGAAACTAGGAGCCCCAAACCTCAAGTATGAATGCTAAGAGAGCCAAAAACCAAAGCCCATGGCAATGTGGACTTCGCTGTGTTGTTCCCAGACCTTAGGGACTGAGTTTTGAGAGGCCATCGACTCCCATCTCCACACCAGCTGCTGACACACATCTCTCCTTCCTATCTCATTTCAGAAGCAAAAAGGGAAATGAAAACACAGGCCACAGTGCTTTCCTTCCTTGGAATCTCTGCTGCTAGCCTGTGTATGACAACTCTTGTCACATTTTCTAAATGCTTCCCAAACAGCCAGTCATTTTCTTAATTCCTGGGTTTGGAAACTTTTCTCCTAAAATGGAAACAGGCTTTTCAAAGAGCTAGGGTCTCGGAGGCCAATACACCACAATTATTAATAATAACAATAGCTGCCTTTTGTTAAGTTCCTAGTATGCAACACGTCCAGGGCTATATACAGAGCCCTCTTACATGCAGAGTTCTTCCTCTGGATACACATATCGTATCACCAAAGGCTCTGCCTCCTTAGTTTGACACTCATGGTCAGTATCTCTGAGCTTTAAAAAGCTGTGTGGATGCCATTTATTTATTTATTTATTGCTAGAAGATTTAGTGTTGTGCTTGCTGAGTGAGACAGCATTGAGCAGAGAGATATCCACAAAGACAATAATTCTTAACCAGGCCTGTATATCAGCATTGCCTGGGAAGGTGAAATACACTTACTGGTGCTCCACCAGGGTAATTATGATTCATCAGGTCTGCGATGGGATGCAGAGTGTGTATTTTAACAAAGCTCTGTGAGAGATGCTAATATGCGTGCTCAGTTAAGACTCGCTGCTCTAAGTAATAAATCTCAGTGGGGGCAGGAGTGATGAGCAATTGCCTTGGTGGGGGCAAGAAGGGGGTGTCCAAATGACCTGGGAACTTTTATCAAGCCAGCCTGAGCTACCAAGAATGGGCTCCAAATTGAGAATAACTGTCCTGATTCTCCTGGGACAGCCAGGAGGGTGTCACAACCCTCCAGGCACATGAGGCATAACAAACAGTTGAGAGCCACTGTAAATATGGAGGTTGGCATTCCTGGCCTGAGGAGAAGTCACTCCTGGGCACACAAATGGGGATCCACTATTATTTCTACTATTAGTAGATACTACAGAGGATCTGAATAGACATTTTCCCAAAGAAGACATACGAACGGCCAACAGGCACATGAAAATATGCTCAACATCGCTAATCATCAGAGAAATGCAAATCAAAACCACAATGAGATATCACCTCACGCCTGTCAGAATTGCTATCATCAAAAAAGATCACAAATAACAAGTGTTGGTGAGGATGCAGAGAAAAGGGAACACTTGTGCACTGTTGGTGGGAATGTAAATTGGTGCAGCCATGGTGGAAAACAGTATGGAGATTCCTCAAAACTTAAAAACAGACTAACATATGATCCAGCAATTCCACTCCTGAGTATATAACTAAAGAAAATGACAACATTAATTAGAAAAAATATATGCAAAAAATATATATGTTCATGACAAAAGACCCCAACTAGCCAATCCTGAGAAAGAAAAACAGAGCTGTAAGAATCAGGCTCCCTGTCTTCAGACTATACTACAAAGCTACAGAAATCAAAACAGTATGGTACTGGCACAAAAACAGACATATAGATCAATGGAATAGGATAGAAAGCCCAGAAATAAACCCACATACCTGTGGTCAATTAATCTATGACAAAGGAGGCAAGAATATACAATGGAGAAAAGACAGTCTCTTAAATAAGTGGTGCTAAGAAAACTGGACAGCCATATGTAAAAGAATGAAATTAGAACATTCTCTAACACCATACACAAAAATAAATTCCAAATGGATCAAAGACTTAGAACTATATGAGGTCAGGCACTATAAAACTCTTAGAAGAAAACATAGGCAGAACACTCTTTGACATAAATCGCAGCAATACCTTTTCTGATCCACCTCCTACAGTAATGAAAATAAAGACAAAAGTAAACAAATGGGACCTAATTAAACTTACAAGCTTTTGCACAGCAAAGGAAACCATAAACAAAACGAGAAGACAACCCTCAGAATGGGAGAAAATATTTGCAAACGAAGTGACCAACAAGGGATTAATCTCCAAAATATACAAACAGCTCATGAAGCTCTATGTCAAAGAAACAAACAACCCAATCAAAAAACGAGCAGAAGATCTAAATAGACATTTCTCCAAAGAAGACATACTGATGGCCAAAAGGCACAAGAAAAATGCTCAACATCACTAATTATCAGAGAAATGCAAATCAAAACTGCAGTGAGGTATCACCTCACACCAGTCAGAATGACCATCATGAAAAAGTCTATGGACTTCCCCAGTGGTCCAGTAGTTAAGACTCTGCGTTTCCACTGCAGAGGGCTCGGGTTTGATCCCTGGTTGGGGAATTAAGATCCCACATGCTGTGTGGTATGGCCAAAAAAGGAAAAAGGAAAAAGAAAACGTCTACAATCAACAAATGCTGGAGAGGGTGTGGAGAAAAGGGAACACTCCTACACTGTTAGTGGGAATGGAAATTGGTACAATTACATTACCACTATGGAGAACAATATGAAGGTTCCTTTAAAAACTAAAAATAGGACTACCATATGATCCAACAATCCCACTCCTGGGCATATATCCAGAGAAAAACATAAATCGAAAAGATACATGCACCCCAATGTCCATTGCAGCACTATTTACAATAGCCAAGACATGGAAGCAACCTAAATGTCCATTGACAGAGGAATGGGTAAAGAAGATGTGATACATATATACAATGGAATGTTACTCAGCCATAAAAAAACAAACAAAATAATGCCATTTGCAGCAACATGGATAGACCTAGAGATTATCATACTAAGTGAAGTAAGTCAGATAGAGGAAGACAAATATATGATATCACTCATATGTGGAATCTAATTTTTAAAAAAATTATATAAATGAACTTATTTACAAAACAGAAACAAAGATTTCAAAAACAAACTTATGGTTACCAAAGGGGAAACATGGTGGGGGAGGGATAAATTAGGAGCTTGGGATTAACATACACACACTACTATATATAAAATAGATAACCAACAAGGACCTACTTTATAGCACAGAGAACTCTACTCAATATTCTGTAATAACCTGTATGGGAAAAGAATCTGAAAAAGGAATGAATATATGTATATTTATAACTGAATCACTATGCTGTACACCTGAAATTAATACCACATTGTAAATCAACTTATACTCCAATAAAATTTAAATATATATGTATGTATATATATATATATGTTCATGGCAGCATTATTTACAATAGTCAAGATATGGAAGCAACCTAAGTACCCATCAATAGATGAATGGATAAAGAAGATGTGTTATATATATATACAATGGAATATTACTCAGCCATAAAAAAGAATAAAAGCTTGCCATTTGTGACGACATGGATGGACCCTGAGGGTATTGTGCTAAGTGAAATAAGTCAGAGAAAAACAAATACTGCATGATTTCACTTATATGTGGAATCTAAAAAATAAATGTATAAACAAAACAAAATAGAAACAGAGTTATAGATACAGAGAACAAATAGGTGTTTGTCAGAGGGGAGAGGGTGGGGGAGAAGAAAAATAGGTGAAGGAGATTAAGAGGCACAAACTTTCAGCTCTAAAATAAATGAGTCACCTGTATGAAATGTACAGTGTGGGGAATTTAGTCAATAATAATGTACTATTGGGGCTTCCCTGGTGGCACAGTGGTTGAGAGTCCGCCTGCCGATGCAGGGGACACAGGTTCATGCCCCGGTCCAGGAAGATCCCACATGCTGCGGAGCAGCTGGGCCCTTGAGCCATGGCTGCTGGGCCTGCGCGTCCGGAGCCTTTGCTCCGCAATGGGAGAGGCCACAACAGTGAGAGGCCCGCGTACAGCAAAAAACAAAAACAAAAACAAACAAAAAACACACGGTCATCCGTCTGAACATGATGAGCAGGTGGGGAACACAATGTTCCCACTGCCGCCCATGCCCCACACACAGCTGGAACCGAATGCTGCAGTAAACTACAAACATCTGTCAAGTCACTGCATTGCTGACACAGGGGCAGGGGCAGGGAGGGGGTGGCAGTCACCAGAAAAATATCTATTGCTTCCTCTGAGCTATAATTTAATTCCTCCACTTTCTTGCTACCAGTGCTGGAGCTCTTTGCAAGCACATTGTTCCTGAAGGTGAATGTAAGCCAAAAGAAAAGCATCACCTCCAAGAGTGTTGTTGGAAGGAGCTGCCTTACTTACCACCTTCCGTGTTTCTCGTCACTGACTGGCAGGTCCATCCTGCTTTTCCCATGAAAACAAGTGTGAAGTCCTACCGCCACCTTCATCTTTTTTCCAAGGTGCTAGCCCATCCTGCCCCACCTGGAAGATGAAGCCAAGTGTTTTCTGCCCCTGCAAGGGCCTCCGGCCAAGACCCAAAAGACAGCAGTCTGTGCCAGGATCAACTCTACCTTAAGGATGCCAAGAAAGGTTGGGCTCCCATCTGGCTCTTTGCGGCTGCCAACCTTGCAGGACATATGTGTGTTTCCCCTAAAATGTGACTGCTGAGAGCTGTCCGCACACATGAAACTTACCACCACCTCCTGAGTTTTCCAGGTCAGTTCTCACAAATAAGGGCCCTTTCCCACCACATCCAGGTGAATTGCCTTGACTGCTTTGTCCAGAAGCATAAGAAAAAGCACACCTTGAATCAGTTATGGCGAGTGATGGCTATTTGTGGCACACAGGTGAGCGAGAGCCACTGGCCCTTGGGTGTAAAGGAGATATCTGTCACCAACATTAATAACTTTTAAACTAACATTCATTAACCAAATTAGGTAAGGTGAATCCCCCTTCACATTCACGTAAAGAAACCATGGAGACCCCATGCCTGAAACACACACACACACACACACACACACACACACAGACACACACACACACACACACACACACAGTATAAAAGGTAATCTGGTCATTCTGCTCCCTGGAAATGATTTCTTTTTTCCATTCTCCCTAGTTAATGACACCAGCAAAGCACAAGCTTCTCCCTTCTAAAGGGAGTGGTGCCTGCCAGCTCCTGGGAGGCATTAGAGTGGAGTCATTAAGAATTTGAGCTTTGGAATAAGATAAACCTGGGCTCTGGTCCTGCTTCTGTCACTTAGTAACAGTATTAACTTAACCTTCTGGACCTTGTTTTTCTCATATGGAAATGGGGAAAATAGTAGTAAGCACCTCATGCAGGCTCTTAAGTGAGTGTTAAATGAATAAACACATGGGAAATACATAACCCAGTGTTCAGTATTTAATAAAAGCTTAACATGCATTAAGTACATTTGTTTATTTGGCAAAACTTTCTTCTTTATTAATCTGATGCTTCCTCAGACAGATGCAAAGAGATCCTAAGACCTGCCCACTGAAAGTTTGATAGTTAGTTAATAAATTGGCATGAGAGGGACTTCCCTGGTGGTGCAGTGGTTAAGAATCCACCTGCCAATGCAGGGGACACGGGTTTGCTTCCTGGTCTGGGAAGATTCCCACATGCTGCAGAGCAACTAAGCCCGTGTGCCATAACTGCTAAGCCCATGTGCCACAACTACTGAAGCCTGTGCACCTACAGCCCGTGCTCCACAACAAAAGAAGCCACTGCAGTGAGAGGCCCGTGCTCCACAACAAAAGAAGCCACTGCAGTGAGAAGCCCACGCACTGCATTGAAGAGCAGCCCCCGCTCACAGCAACTAGAGAAAGCCTGCGTGCAGCAATGAAGATCCAATGCAGCCAAAAATAAATAAATAAATATTTTTAAATTGGCATGAGAAGTAAGAATTAAAAAACAAAATAAAACTGGGGAAACGTGACTTTAATGAGTTTTAACAGGTATTTATTCCTTTTTGTGTGTGCGAACGGCAAGGGAGGTGGTGGAAGTCCCTTGCCTCGAGACTACATAAAGTAAAAAGCTTCTGCACAGCAAAGTAAAACCATCAACAAAATGAAAAGGCAACCTACAGAATGGGAGAATATATTTGCAAATCATGTATCTGATAAGGGGTTAATATCCAAAATACATAAAGAATCCACACAATTCAATCACAAAAATATAAATAATCTAATTTTTTTAAATGGGCAGAGGATATGAATAGACATTTTTTCCAAAGAAGACATACAGATGGCCAGCAGGTACAAG